AATCACTCGATAACATACGGCAGACACTTAGCAACAAACACACTCGTGGCCGGAGACAAACAAACAAACAGACAAACACAGACAGACAGGTGTGGGCGTGCCCCAACCGCGGCCAATACCGCCGCTAACACACAACCAGCCGTAGCCGCCATCTTAATTTATCGAAATGGGAATAGAATTTTTAATTGTTCCCAGACTCCGTGTGGCGGGCCGTTTTTCTCCGTACGGTTTAATTAATCGAATTTTAATTTATCACGCAGTTTCACACGAGCGGTCGCTAGCATTCTGTTCACGTACGAGGTACACGTCTTCTGTGAATTTTAATCGCCACTCGTCGTTTTGTAGCGCTCGCTTTACGGATTAAACTCAGTAATGGACAATATGGTGTGGGAGCAGGCTGCTAGGTTCTGTCAGGTTTTCCAAAGCCACGCCGTATTAATTATTTTTTCTCATTATTGTTTGAAACTTATTACAACTAAAATATTGAGTTATTATAGACTAACCTCCGTATGGTCCTCGACTAAGGACAGAATCAGATCCTAGATCATGAAATGTCGTGAAAACTGGGGCTTATTACTAATCGTGATGGAGAATTACAGAACATAACATAAACTCCCATCGCCAAATAAATGTCACACATAAAAAATAATTACGAGACGCGTAGTAAAAGGAAGAGGCATCCTATAATTAATTAAGGCTTTGGGTTAAAAGGAAACCCATTTCTGGTTTCTCTAGATGTACCTTAGATCTGCCACTAAAACCAAATACAAGGAATGTGACACCAAGAAGATTAACGACAAGGTATGAATGGATGAAGAACACCGTCGCCGAGATCGCACCCTGAGGCACCCCGTGATCCCGCGAATCTCGAGTAGCCTCCGACAATGTTACAGGTGACAAAGCAAATCTGTCTACAATAGGTCGGTCGTACAAAGGGCTAGAAACTCCCACGCCACGCGCACTAGGGGTCCTAGCACAGACCTTGCCAAGGAATGACGACAGTAGTGGTCAGTCGGCGATGAATCGTCCATAAAAATGCCACACGATCGTTCCGGTTCCCCACTTTTCGTAAACGTCCGAAATAAAGTATCGCGTTGACATTTATTTCATTTTCCTTTTGAACAAGATTCTTTCGTTGAAAGATTTAAAATTGTAAAAGAGCTGTTTTTAAGCTTAACGACAACATTAGGGTGCGGAATTTTGGCTTAGACGTGATCGAGGGTAGCCAAACTGTTGTGGTTACTATTTTACGATTAGGCACAAAGTAAAATCAGTGACAAAGTGTTTTCCTTGAATAATTAACGCCATGATTTGCGTCATGTAACCTTATTTAAGTGTTATTCAAATTAAACTTACAAAAAAATACATTCCTGATCACATGGCACATAGCACAAATTCACCTTTTAAATAGGCTATTAATATTTACCTAATTTGCAGTTTAAATACGCCAATGTCATGATTATCAATTGACTTTTACTTTCAACAACTCGAATACTCTCCGTACTTATAATTGCAAATGTTACTCCTCAAATACGTAATGCTTATAGGTGTCATTATGGAAAAGCAATCAACCGAAATTGGCGAGAAAGTCGCTGATTAGTAAGCTATGTTGGTCTTGTTCGAGGAAGCATTACCCACGATTACTTCCGATTTCGCCACTACCTTATAAACGTTGTGACCATGCAGGTATTGCGGATCTTTCAATCACATGTTTGTCCAACCACAGCCTATATCAGCGATATGGAGTTGGATTTAGTTGAAAATTAAATAATTTTTGAAAACATTTATAGCTTGAAATTGGAAGAGCATTGAGCAATGAGCTAATGTGTACCTATATTGTGAAGCATAAACCAACAATTCTTAAGTTCAAAAAAGTTAGGCTAGTATTAGGTGCTTTGTGATGTATCAAGGAATATCACGTATTTTATACACGTTTCAGATTCATAACCAAGGCATTTGATATAATTTAACAGTACCTCTAACATAAACCAACGTATGTGTTGACAGATTTGTTTAGGAGTAATTGGGATACTTTAAAAAATATTGTGGTTTTAGTGCAATTTAATAAAATAAATTATATAAAAAAATAATAATGAGAAAAGGCTAAGTGCAAACAACTAATATTTATATAGAAAGACGGATAAAAAACTTAGATATTCACTTTGCGAACTCCGCCCTCATAAACTATGACCGTGTTTATGCAATTTCTAGAGTGGCCAGCAAGTTTCGGACTAGGTAACTTCCGTGGGTGTTCCTACTGCGTGCTCACTGCTCAGAAGCTGGTTTGGAAAGTCAAAAAATAATTGGTCAGATTGGCTGGGCTGCCCGCAGGACTTGCGCAACACGTAACTTGCTGGTGTTGGTCCTGGTACAGTAGTGTGTGTGAGGGAGACAGGGACAGGGAGCAGCCAGTATCTAGCCGCTCACTACAGGTTCACAAGCGAAACAAGTTTACCAATTTAAACCAAATATAACTGAACTCAACGAATGTTCAAACCTGGTGCACAACTACAATTGAAATGGTATATGAGTACATCTCTAACCATCTTACATAGTCCAACGAGAACACACCAACACCATACACAACCCTCTGACACAGTTACGGTGGCGATAGTCAGATTATGACGTAAAACTAATAACATACTCATACTAGTAACATATTCATCATAACTAAAAATAGTTACATAACCTAAAATAGAATGATTGACATTTCCAAACCTCTGAGATACCGTTGCCGACTACATAACGACATATATGTGTAAAAAATTACTAGAGGCCTACAACAATGATCCTAAGAATCGATACTCCCGCTTTTGCCAAGCTCATGCATGATGTAAGCGTGTGGTCTCAGCGGTGGAGGGCCATTGGACTGAAAAATTACAGCTTAAAGAAAAAATAAAGGAGACAACATAAAAATCATAAGCTATTGTGTGTTTGGCGATAGTGATTCGTACACAATGCCCGAGTTCGCCTTGACTTTAGACCCAACAATCGATCATGTACGTATCGATACATTAAATCGCACGCACCACTCTCCTACGACTACGACACCACCCGTAAATCACTGATAATTCGGATTAATCGATAGTTGATAAAAAGTCTCGAGTACGATTTATCGGGCGAATAATCAATGTATCGCAGCGAGCACTCCATCACGGACCAGTTATGTTTCACGTATGTTAATGCGTCGGCCGCCTACCTGCTACGGTCTACGGTGGTGGTTATTAGTTATTGCTTTTGTTATTTATACCGTTTTAGCTCTAATGACCTTCAAGTCGTTGTAAAATTGTAAATGTTCACGATTTATGACATTTCGGCCGTTTCCTGTGCAATGTTTGTCTATTGGTGTTTTTTTGTTTTAAAGAGATCAAATTAAAACATTCCGAGTCTATCGCGTGTTTAATGGAAAGTTCAAACTGTTTTTATTTTTTATCGCAGGATTAAAGATTTTTTTTTATTCGTTGGTGAAATATAGGCCAAGAACTGGCTGACATATTGATTATCTAATTTAAAATTATGAACACAACATTTTCCCTGAGGTACTCATTGTAAATGGTCCGAAGAGAAATACGTTAATTTCTACCTACTGACTCGCATGACAGTCTACAAAATTACTATTAATAATAAATAACTTCTTGATCAGCATCGTACGTGTTATTAAATTTACGGAAAGTAAATAAAGAAACGTCTTATAACACTTAAAACACCTATTCGCCTATTGGGTCTGATGATGATTGGAGTGTCTAATCGAAATCGATCACAACTTACCACCTTTTTTGTATATTTACCGTCTTGTGAGTAACAGTATAAGCGTAAATATATGTTTTAAGTGATATAAGACGTTTATTTATTAACTTTCCTTATTAATAATAACCAAAGTACTGTTAAATCGGTACTGTCTTAATACGTACACTTTACGGTAAATACAAATTATACGTAGGTATGTTTCTATGGCTGTTTGAGTTGATTATGGCGGCAGTGCCTACATCAGTGCATTTCCTATCGTCACTATGCGCATCATCATAGGCATTAAGACTGTTGAGTTTGATCTATGGATTAATTTACGTAACAGTTGTTTGTGTGCAGAATATAATAGACACTTTTCCTTGTGAGTTCTTTCCCTCTAAAAAAGAGAAGAAGGCCTCCTTCATAAAATTGTATTTAAGATAAACTAGCTTAGCCGAACCAGATTGTTAATCGGATTGTAACATTATGCGATAAAACAAATTCTTACTAGATTACTGATACCCATAATATTATTATACACTCAGTAAATGTCAAAGATAAAGAGAATATTAATGCGGTACAGTTGGTATTGCCGTGTCGCACGATATGTGTACGGGATAGAAGTCGGTGTTGTGTTGCCAGCCAAGGCGGGTGCGACAGGTAAAAATGACTCCTGGATTTTAACGGTGTGGTCATTTGTCCAACAGTAATGGTGGGTTGGCCCCTGGATAAACGCTACTTGCAGCCGTGGACATCCAATATGGGCGACAACGGCTCATTTCGACCCTTATTTGCAGTTTGTAAATTGGGCTGTAGAGTAATAAAAGTTGTTTAGACCGTGTGTGTGTGTGGTACACAATTACTGAATGAGAAGTTGGTAACATGGGTGATTTATATTTTGTAACGGATAAACCAACGAAATTTTCGAATGCAAATTGGTGGTTTAGTATATGTAGTTATGCTGTTCATGTAGTAGACTTTTACAATGTCGGAATAAAGTATGAAACCTTTACAATCCTGTAAAACAATCAAATACAACGAATGATACAACAACGTACAACGTAATTTGCATTTAAAGCAAAAGTCTCCTTACTAGAGTGTAGTTGGTTTTTAGTTTATAAATCTAACTAATCAATACACTGTTTTATATTTTAATACTAACTAGGTGACGAGAAGAAAAATCAAACATTTAAATAACCTAACTATTAAAATGCTCTCTCTCTCTCTCTCTATATATATATATATATACATATATACTGTATATTAAAACTCACCATAATTTCTTGCTCGCTGGGCCAAGAGTCATTGCAGCCACCTTTTCCGCCCAGAGCAGATTGTATATCAGGCACCTGAAACAATTGGCAACATTGTTAGACACGACAAAAATTATTAAAACAGTACATTCAGCAGCTTGGAAAAAAGTAAACCTCTTATTGTTTTGGTAAAATGTTATATTCTAAGCTTTTAAAGTTTTTATTGCAAATAAATAATATTTCATCTATGTTTTTGTTTTATTATTTTCCCCATATAGGTATAGTATTTTGACCGCATAAACACCTAAAACTGGCTCACTAGAAAAGATGGATTCCTTATAAAAAAAAAATTAAAACACAGAAAGTTTATTTATATTTATTTTCTAGATATGCCAATTCCTTGTCTTGTCGGAATAAGTCACGCTATGAGATTGTATACACGTTAAAATATTTTTAACAAACGTAAGATAACTAATATAACATGTAAATTTCAAGTGAATATGGGTACAAACAATCATTTCACAAGCGCAGTTATTCAGTGAATAACAGTAAATCTGCAAACCCGACACACAATAAACTTCCACCTATTTACTTCCATTGACAACAAACAGCAACTCTGTTGACGAACAAAACGACGTGTGAACGAGTAGTAATGACAGGACTTGGCAACATGGCGGGCATGATTGAGGTTAGGTAGGTTAGGTGCGGACGTTTAGTTTAGGTAATTGGTGCCTCATGTGAGAGCGCTTGCTGCGGCGGCCACGGAAACCTCAAATTGCGCTGTTTGACACGAGCGCTAGTGTCCCCCTCGGCCACTTGCAGTTTCCCAATCAAAACCCCCACAATTAATCCCAATTATTTCGATTATCCGCGGTGTTTGCCAGACCCCAGCTGCGCTCGCGTGAGCTACGGCTGACGGCGCTCTGATATCCTGCGTGTTTGTGCAATTTTACCTGAATGTACAGTAGTATGAAGCTAATTATTAACAGTTTTTTGTAGATTTGCAAGCCTTTGGAAGTAAGTACAGTAATCAGTTTAGTCTGATTGGTCCAAAATTATCGACCTACAATGTCTCTCTTCGACCAATAGGTGTTCGATAAATTTTGTAGTAGAGAAATAATACAGTACTAAGTTCAGCAAGGCGTTCAGGCTCAGGCCTACCGCATTATTTTGACTACTTTTGATAAACAGTAAAAATTCTCAATAAATTACTGACACTAACACCATGGAATGAAACGCCATCGAATGCTGTGGTCAGCAGATGTGGACGTGGTACTGGAAGCTCAAGTATATACTGTCTGCAGTTCTCGCTCGCGGCGTACAGTAGCCGCTGCCACCAATAACCAACTGAACAGACTCATTCATCAACTCTCTAATAAGGCTCTAAATCCATTTTATATATAGGCTTCTCAGCACGAGAACGTACATCCTTTGAGACGTTATGAGTTTTAAATGTTCGATATACTCGTAATTACTTTTCTGGTAAACTATCAAAATTGTAACTTAACACAATTTTCATCAAACTATACATAATTCGCTGTTTTAAGGTATATTTTACATTAATTGTTTATCGTGTAGTTGCCAGTCGTATTGCCCTAAATCTTTTTGTAATATCAACAATCAACTTTCGAATCGACTTCTAAACAGGGAAAAATTTAATAAAATCTATCAAAATAAAAACTAATTTAAGCCCCTGTTTTATGTACAGTAATGAAGTCATCGGTTGTCCAGATTGTCTATGATCCAACTGCGTTGGCTTATTTTCTAATTTAATAATCTGCTTAAGTAATAATCTGCTCATTTTACAATCGGCTTATTAGTCCTTGCAACACACTACTTTGACACCCTAACAAATATACCACGGCAAAACTGAACACATCGTGACAAACAAATTGGTTGGATAAATGTAGACGCAGATGAGACAGTAACGCCAGGGGGAGTGACCACGCGACACTCATCACCTCGTCTGATTTATCAGAGACAAGCGCACATTCCGCTCTCTAACTCTCTAGTCTCTAGTCTCTACGATGGATTCATCTTTATTTTAGACACCAACGCCACCTAGCGCCGATGTCTCGGACTGCGTACTCCCAATTAGTGTTGCCTTTGATGTCGCCAGATGTGTTTAACTAGCTTTCTGCTTCATAACCGACTGTTTGTCCGCGGTTCATATTTCATCAGGTTCAATCCGGACCATTTGAGCTTTCAGGTTTGCCGCCTTCGGTATTCAACGCCTCCATCAGAGACCGAGGTGGTCCACGAGGGCTGAGCACCTCCTTCGCGGGTTTGATCAAAGGAGTGTTAAAGTCTAGACTATTAGTAATGGGCGGAGCCGGAGTTGGTCTTTGTATGAGTTGATAAGTATGAGGCTGTAGATACAGTAAGTTGGTTCATTGAGGAGTTTTACGTCAAATTGAGGACTATTCCATAATGTGCTCTATGGATTATCGCAATAAACCTGAGAACAATCAAACTATATTTTATATCAATACGCAGCATAGTAAAAACATGGGATAAATAAACCCAAAACAAATGTACTACTTTTCTCGCGAACTTTGGTGATACATGGGTGAATTGTTTCAAGTGTTAATCTACTCCTAAACTAAAAGCAATACAAAAAATAATAATAGACAAGAACTTTTACAATGGTCGATTATCAATATTATACACAGTTTATACAAAAAATGTTCCGAACTGGATTCTATTAAACGTTAATTGTAATACCATTGATTTCACGCTAGAGATCATCGTCACGTAGTATACACTCCGTCTATTCCACCTCACATGATGCTAATGGCAGACCAATCCACGGTCCAGTTGGATTTGTAGAAAAATGTTAAAAGTTGGGAAGACTGCTGTTGTTGTACCTGCTCAAACATGGTCACAGATCAGCAGATTATCGCCTTTTCCACGGCATACCCATGATCAGCAAGACTCTGCAGGCACCGCGGTGATAGCACGACTGATAGTGACAGTGACATTGACAAGGACGGGTGAAGGTCGTCGTGCGACGTCTGGCCGACATCAAGTCTGCGGTCGCTCAGCTCAGTCATGGCACGTCATGGTCGGTAATCACAGCATCACAGCATCGCAGTCTGCACCACGCCGACGTAACAGAGATGTCGGTTACAGCTGATGTGCACGGTCTGTATTTATGATATTAGTATTCTAGGTTGGATGAGTTCCTCGGTTGGTCACCGTGGCCGAGACCTTATGCCGTAGCCGAGTGAGGAACTCATGAACATTGTATGTACAGTATAAATAGTGTTCCCGGAGCTGCTGTTCCCGGATCAGTTTGTACAAGTAGTCTATCATGCTAACGAGTATGTGTTTTTTTGTAACAATTGAGAAATAAAGATTGTATAAATGGGATTTTAATAAACGACCCTGGATGATTATAGTCAGTAACGAATCAGCCATTTCATCAATCAATATTCAATATTCATCCTTCACTCATTTCTGCCTTAAAATATCGTATAGACCTTGTGTGTCAGAGTCAGCGTAGTCGTAGAAATATGATCTAATAACTTGGCTATTTTGCGTGATTAGTACGAATAATATTTCAACCACTCCGAAACTATTATCTTCACCATTCATGTATGAAAAATAACAAAGTTAGGCCGATTAAGTCTTTACGAGTGCATCTGCTGTAATGATAACCGATATGATTTACTGCATCGAAGTGACGTTGATGCATTCACTTTGCATTAATCGTGTAAACTATGACAAACAGCTGGTATTTATAATAATCAGCTGATAATCAGCTGGGCTGACCAGCTGGCCAGTCCTGACCTCGTGTACAGCAGTCTAATTGTGTACAGTCGGGGGTAATAGCACCCGCTAATTGGCTTGTGACCAAAGGCAGATGTAGAGCTTTTTAAAAGACCTGATGTCTCCATGACAAAGGATTTGACTAAAACAGTTGTTTGTCATCAAATAGATTTCATGTATTGCAACCTGAGGGTAATTTGAGTTCCTTGAACTTAACTTTTCTGGCACCATATAAATAGATATTAGTGCGATTTTTATATAACTAAATAATTTTAGAACTCGTTTGAGAAAAAGTTTCCACCATTTTATGAGCTACAGGTATTTTGACTCATGATAGCTGTAATTCAATTTCTACATTCACTATTATCATGATTAAATTATTCTACTTACTGCAAAAAATATTAGCCACTGTCATTCGAGTTAATTTGTCAATTAAGAGTAAATTTGTAAAATCTTTAAGCATCTCATATTTACAATAAATGTGGAGAATGATATGCAATGGGGCGTTTCTATAAAAACTGGATTACAGTATAATATGTAGTAGAATAGGGAGGGTGAAGAAAAACGACATCTGGAGAACGAACAGTCTTTAATAGTTCTTGGAGTTGTAATTGGACTATGCTCAAAACAACAGGATGTCAAAAGTGGGGGAATTCCACTGTTGAGAATGTCTTATTAACCTTTGAATTTCAAGTAGTAAATGTCTTTGAAAAATATCACTGGCAGTCTTTTGGTGGCAATGTGAAATCTTTTGCAATTATATTTAACAGAAATAATCTTTATTGTTACCGTGAAGTAGTGCTTTATCTACGGTTCGTAAGTATATTTTTTCTTTGTACAACATTCAACGGGAATTTAACATTCCCCAACTTTAAATGTCATAAATCGCTAAGACAAACTTTCTAAATGATGACCGTACATTTCTAATAATTAATTACATATTCATTTTAAAATTACATATCTGGTAAAATGTATAAAACGAAGCACATAATCGAAAGCCACTGAAAGTTGCACAATATGAACTGGTGGTCGGTAGTGGTAGGGATGACTAATTACTGACATGTCACGGTTTGCTACTGGTGTTGTGCCGCTATTAACATTCATATGCAAATGTAGCTGTCACAGTCCAAGTACTAGTTACTTTGCTGTCACCGTTCCCGCAGCTTGTCGGAGCAGTTTGGCACTAATTGCGGGAATTGCCACTGATACACTGTTTACAGGTTGGATTTGACATGTTTGAATTGCATGCAATCGAGAAGACGGTATTACTTTGAAATCGTTACCAGCAATTCAGTTATTCATCGATTTAATGTAATAACTAAGAC